TACAGGGAGACTGTCTATTGTGTATTTTGTTCACACCTGGCGTATCTAACCAATCGTACTGATCGTCACGGAAATGTACATATATTCGATTTGTGATATGTGAGTTTCACATGTGAATCCTCATCAAGTGAGTAAAACGTGATCTTTTAGGATGATTGAACTTAGCCGCGTAGATATCTGTCAATACCGCTGAATGTTGAATCGTTTGCTTGTTGAACTGCTCTACATATTGGCTGTCATTTGCCTACTTGTATAGTGGTTGGCAGAAGATAGGAGGAATACGATCAAAGTATTGTTGTACATTATTATATTGACATTTATTTACAGTCTTCGTCACTGATCAACGACTGCAAATGTGTCTCATTATCGTTTGAAGAAAAAGCAGTCATGTTGTCGAACCGTTTTCTCTTGTTTTGTGTCGGTTACAGTGCATACATAGTGCTCTGCGTATTAGGCTTAGTCTTCTGAAACCAGCGATAGGCGCAGAATCTCAGCGACCTGAACATTTGACAATAATATTGAACTATAAATCATGTGGGACCGAATGATCTGACTCGGATTGGTGTTCACTAGTGGAAAACCTCGTCATCCTAATCTCACTAACCGAACCGCGTAGTGTTTCCAGAGAACATGCCCACAACATCCAATGTAGTCAATTCCACAGGAGTGTGTGAAAGAGTAGCTGGATGTAGAAGTGGACGTGAGCGGTAGTTTATTCATGGCGCACTGTCGAATCATACTTCGACTGGAGAATACTAGGTGTGAGTAAGTAGCACATAAAGAGCACTCAATATACTTGGATAGACAACTTTTGATCACTGCAGTAATGATGTCATTTTTGAATGACGTACTCTTCTTTGGCACTTTGATTTGACTAGGAGCTATTTCGCCGCTAATACTCCTCTCAATGAGCCTTCTAGGAGAATATTGGACGAAGGTTTTCCAGTTCTTTGTCGAGCATATTCAGAGAAACAGAATTTCATGTTTGAATTCGGTGCAATGGCCTATGGAGGTTTGCCTTCAGTCAATCGACCTTTTCCAATGAATCATCCTCTTGTATAAAATCGAATAAGTGGAATGTCACTTTTCTTCAGCAATGGGGATCACAGGTGACTGATAGCTGTTATATCTTCTGATGAGGTCAGCAGTTGAATAGTTGTCATTACAAACACATGTATCATACGTATTTATATATTTGTGTGGATAATCCCTAGTTCATGACCCCGATGGGTTGGTCCACAGTTTGAGATGCGTTCTGTCTACTTCATATTGGGCAACTGGGAAATATCATCGCACATTGCACATGAAAGTTCTGCTTTCAAGTAACTGCGTTCTAACTAACTAATTCCACCAACACCCTTGTCTAATGAGAAATACACGTTGAGGCCAGGGGGAATTCGTATTCACACAGATGAGATTACATCATTTATTATTATAACATAATTCTGATTTCCAACATAGTAAGTGTTTTAGAAACGATAGGGTGGATTCGTTGTCTGTCAGCCTAATTATTAGTCACAGTTAGCACAGAGTGAAGTTCCATTTCTCCATGTCCTCACTAAATGTTCCATCCGCTTGTCACTGTTGATATTCACCACCTTGACTGTACCTCGGAAATACTGCCTACAGGCAGAGTATTGCTTAACTGATAGCCATGTATCTCCTGATGTGGATGATAAGATGTCTTCCGAAACTACCAATTCAAGGAACCATTTCGTCTCCTCTCAATATCATGCACTGGAACATTCAGATGATTTATCGTTGTGAATATATTCTGAATGTTTTAGACTATTCATGTAGGGAACACTGACTGATACAACTTAGACTGAGAAGACCTCAAATTTGCTGATATTCAGTTCTAGGATATGTTGATACGTAGATTATCCCTATGCAACAACACTCAGTGTTTATGTCTCTGCAGTCCTCGATTTCGGTGTATAGTCAGACTTAATGAGAATTGTCTAAGTAATTTAGAGATGTCGTTCCCCATGAAGTTTAGTAGTCCGTGAATTTTTCATCACAACCAGTCACTGTTTGCTGATCGACATCCAGGGAATAACACGGACGAATAACAACTGCGTGGAATATACGTCATATAGGGGTAGTCATCGCAACATGGTGATTACAAGTCTAAAGAAGTGTGTGCCTAAATAAATCTGTTGCGTATAACTCTCAGGAAGCATTTCTGGTTATCATCGACCAGTCAGACTTTGTGTACGTCAGGTGGGATGCTGGTTTCGAAAGGATACGTCCTAACTCAAATAGTGTAAACAATGACTGCTTCTTATGCTTTAACACGAATGATGTCCTCAAGTGTCTTCAATCTCTCAGCCTACTCAGTCCCTCGGTCCTGATGGTGTTCCTGCTGTTATCCTTAAGAAGTGTGCCGACATCTTGTGTTCCCCGCTAACTGACATTTTCAACGAATCGTTCTCCAAAAGTATTACACCTGAATCATGGAAAAACATCAAGATCGTTCCAGTGCCTAAATCAACAAGTGGACCTAATGTTAAGTTTAGACCCATTTCAATTACCTCACCCTTTTTGAAAGTTATGGAAAGACTTATTTTACTTAATCTTGATCCCTCTTTAAAACCTTTCAACGACCCCAACCAGTTTGCTTATAAACATAGTAGGAGTACGTTAGATGCCGCTGTTGTCCTCCACCATAGCATAGTCTCTAGTTTAGATAAAGGAGCTAAATACGTTCGCTGTGCCTTCCTTGATTACACATCTGCATTAGACTTTGTTCCCAGGTCTCTCTTGCTAAGTAAGCTTGCTGCAAAACAGGCTGAAAGCTGGATAAATAAGTGGTTGCATTCCTATTTTTCTGAAAGGAAGCAGTACACCGTCTACAATGGAAAATCCTCCACTACCTCACTTACTTTAGCTGGTGTTCCTCAAGGTGCTGTTCTTTCTCCTTTTCTGTTTTCGTTTTTCTTACATGACTTGCCTCATCCTGATGTAGCCACTTTTGTTAAGTATGCTGATGACCTCTCGGTTTCTATGCCTGTCAACTCTTAGTCAGATTGTTTCAAATTAAATAACTTTCTGTCGGAAATTAGTCAGTGGTCCTCTTCAAACGGACTTAAGCTAAATCCGTCTAAATGTCAGGTAGTCAATTTCACTCTCAGACGTAAAAGTGACCTACAACAACTAGCTAGCTCCCACGGCCCCACTATCACTGACGCCATAGAGGTTAAAAATACATCTAATGTCAAGTACCTTGGGCTGAGTATTTCCACCGAGCTTTCCTTGTCTTCACACATCTTGCTAGTTACTAGAAAGATATTTCGCTTAACGTTCTACATTAGGAAATTTAGGCAGTCTGGTTTAAAGCAATCTTTACTTTCTCATTTTGTAAATTCTTGTATTCTACCCATCCTCCTTTACTGCTCCCCATTAGTCTTTCCTGGACTACTTAAGAAAGACTTTGCTTCGCTGAGAAGGGCACTAAAAGCCGTTAGTAGGGCAAGTGGGATATCGTTAAACCAACTGGTGAACACTATTGTAGATAGACATATAATGTCATGTAAGAAACTAGCGAATACAATATTGTCGGACCCCGAGCATCCTCTCTATACGCATCTATCTCCTTGCATTTCATCTGGTAGAACTAGAAGCAGCTATAGGAGGCTATATGCTAGGACTACCAAATACAAAAACTCCACAATACCATATCTGGCACAGCTGTTATGTGATGAGAAATCCGTTAGGTATGACACGATCAACTTACTGCAGCACTCTAACAAATAGTCTCATTAGTTTTTGTTTTCCTTTCCTCGTTACTATTACACTGTTGTTCTCATCTTCTATCACACATCAACTTTATATTTCAAATCCTGTGGTGCATTGTTTGAAATGTAATACTCTACGCTGTTTTTTCTAAATTTTTAATTTTTATTTATTTTATTTATTTATAACTTATTTATTTTATTTTTATTTATTTATCTTTGATTTTTAAAAATCGTATATAATTAATGAGGTAATTAGATGCAATATACTGTAATGCACGCTGAAAATTCCATACCTGTACCACAAATACCGTTTGTAATAAAGCTGTTATTATTATTATTATTATTATTATTACCTACCTACACAACTGTTTCTTACGTTCTTCCAGTCAGAACAACCTTCACCATCATAGACTCGCTCATCATTCAATGAAGTCTTCTCTAACCCCTGATCAATATTCCAATGAAAATAAATAAACGTGAGCAGGAATCTGTATATTCGACCTACATGTTGCTCTACATGTATATATACGTGCATTGATATAGGTGAGCTAGTGAAGCAGACAGTAACAACAAACTTGTAAACTCAAATGAAACAAGAAAAAACGTTTGAACATAAACAAACTTTTGCATCAATGTTGTCATTATCCGTATCAACACTTCTATCAGGTTGACAGGCGTCGATTTCTATGCAAAATACACACATGTAGATTGAATGCAAAACATGTTCAAAAGATTTCATTCTCAAAAATTACATTTTGAAATTGATGTGGTGAACACAACAGAACAAACAGTCTTTCACAGGATCTTATGATGTTTCTTCATTGAAAATAAATTATCGATTTCTGATATAAATTAGGCGGTTACAGTCGTTTCTCACCAACACCTTAGTAGACATAATTGTTATGGCATTGTCGAGAGTGAATGCTGAATGACTGTCAAGTGGGACAGTGTCGAAGTACAATGGCACTAGAAGTAAGCGAATGAAGGTACATACCAATGAGAAGAAGAAGAATGAGAAGAACATGAGAGAGGAGTCAACATTCTGTAAGGTATTAGAAATAACAATGAAAATAATAAAGACAAAATGTGCTCTAAATAAGAAATATATAACTTTGAAGAAGAACAACTACTTCATACTGGCAATGAGTATATGAGAAATATGAAGCGCATTTATTGAGTCTGCAGAATTCACTAGTTCTTCATTAGTTGTATTCCGAAAGAGAACACCAAGACGTACTGATCTGTGTGTTGCTTTCGCGGCAGTTAATTCAACGTCCCATCCACTTCATTCAGTTGTCTCCGGCGGAACTCTGCTTCTCGTCTCAGAGCTGCTTCCACAGCCTTCTGTCGAGCGGTCGTCGACTGAAGAGAAAAAGAATCAGAGATTACTTCAGAAAACAACTTCAATTTCACTTCAGTGGTGAATTACTCTTATTATTTTCTGTTTCACACACTAATTTCTTATTCTCGATAGGCTTGTCAATAAGGTTCTACCTCTATTCAGACGCAGACACTGAGAGCTGTCTATTTTCTCGATAGTAGATTTTATGTCTTCTCTGATTTCTGAGTTCTAGCGCATGACTTCAAAACATCACCGTTCTAGGGAGACTACATTTTATAGTCAGACACATGGAATATTTACAGCGTTCTTCACGACTTCACTCTCAGTCTGTTAGTCATATTTTACAGTGTGTGATTGATAGATGTGTGAAACTTAGACATTGTGGTAGTATGTGACTGCGTATTAATTAGTCTGTATCACACAGACACAGTGGAAAATCATCGTTTACTGGATGGGACTTTCATGTGGTTGGATCCTCTGAGCTGGTTGTCTGAATCGCAGTGCTTTCGTTATCCTTCTAGACAACACTGTCAGATATTTCGAACACAAATTATCGTTCGTATTCAATCACTAGTAGCCACACAACCTTCAGACTCGATTTTTATAGTTCTCTTGATTCCTCTGTATTTATCATACGGGTGGTAGAATTTTGAAGATGTTCGAAACAGCTTTGGAATCACTACTATCGCGCTTATTCTGGTCTGAATAGACTAATTAATCTACGGTTATCAATCCCTCACTCTTCACTCCATTACATTTGATTTGACGACTGTCACCTTGTTGCATCTTATCATATGCTTGTGTGTAACTGCACGCTGTTCGAAATTCTGTCTAGATTTCTTATCTTGTCACGATCTACTCGTTCGCATACGGCTACGATTTCTGGCAGCGCCAAAGTAACTGACTCCTCACTGTATTATATAGACTAGATTAATTTGTCTCATAGGGCCGACGGTATATTTTAACTGGGACAATTTGTTTTATGTGAGATTTGTTAGGTTGAATGTCACTCTTATCGCCACCTTGCTAGGAATACTAGTCAGTGTCTCAGACTTTCCCTCTTCGTGTGAGAACAATATCTATGTTTTATAGTCCGTATTTTTGGTGTTGTCATCTTGCTGTGTGTGTTCATCACTCTTGTCGTCCTTATTGTTCGCGTTATCTTTATTTCCGCCCTTTCCTACATGACTCCTGATCAATCAATTCGGGTAGTTATTAAGCGATATATCCTCTCTCATATGTGTTATTTCCCGCTGTCTGCTTTCTTTGACACCGTTTTGTTGTTTTGTCCTACAACTTAAACATTTCACTAGGCCTACAAGAACTGTCAAAAGCATTTCCTGGTATCTGTAGTCAGAATTTTGTAGACCACCGTGTTAACGTGGTGGGTAGAGGTGAATAACTACATCGTCGACTTGTGTGTATGTGCACTACAAACAGACTACATGCATCGAGAGCCTGAGATGACGGAGGACTGAAGACAACAGTGTGTTGTGGAGATGGTAATTCGAAGCCCTACGTTCCACACAAAACTGAGGCAGTAACAATGAAATTAGAAATAGAAGCTGTTGAACAAACCTCATTAACTCTATCACAACGTTTCGTGTTCACTTGTGGATTGTATTGATTGGATGTCAACTGAATTTGATTACTCCCAGTGTCTTGAGACGGAACAATTTCTGGTGTATGCGATGCAGTGGTTGGCTGAACGGAAGTTGATTCGATACATCCCTTTGATTTCGTCTATTAGCTGGAGTATTTGTATAATAACTAGTAGAAGACACTGTCGCAGCAACAGTACTGGTAGCTGATGTCGTTGTAGCAGTTGTGGTGTTAGTGATGGTATTGGTGGTAGCGGAGGTTGTGCATGGAGAATAAGAAGGTTTAACTCGTTGACGAAGATTACGACTGGTCGACGTGTCAGAGGAACTCGGACCAACAGTATTACGAGTTGTCATTTGGCTTCGATTAGTAGAATTGGCAGTAGTGGAAGTACTTGTGATGGTTGAACTCTGTCCTGAGGTCGTTGTACGATTCTGTCAATTGCATTAAAACAAACAATTCTCGTTAGAAAATTAACAGTTAATTTACGCATGTACTTCAACAATCTATCGACACCTAATCATAAAGGTTTTTCTAGTGAGTAATGTTCCACTTCATGTCTGTATTGTTTTTCTCATAATAGTCGACAGACGACAATGTCTACGATTCATCATATGCTAATTAGGCAGTACAAATCAAAAAGTATTCATTGACAAACACTATATATAGACATATATGCATATAGCTCGGGAAAACACAAACGATGATGCCACGAAATGTACGCTCAGCCATGCAGAGCCGTGAGATAACATACCTGTTCCTGAGCACCTGAAGTGGAAGCACACAGTCGTGGACGAGGAGGTCGTACAGATGCTGCTGTCGAACTTGTTCCGTTGTTTGACTGAGTCCTTAGTCGAAGACGGGCACGTTCCAGTCGACCCAGTGCAGTACGGATTCCAGCACGACATTTTGGGCATGTTGTCGACTGTTTCAGCCAAATGTCGATGCACTTCGTGTGGAACGCGTGACCACAAGGAAGATGTCGGAGCCGATCTTTGTTTTGATATTCATCTGGGTGTAAAATACAGTAGTCAGTTCTATTAGGAAGTACCACATCAAAATGAAACAAGTATATAAATGACACAAATCAAGGCTTTTGGAGTGCTCATAATGCCTCGTGGAATCCCAGAAATTTATCATCAAATGTGAGTATTCACAGTCAACTGGATATTGACACTGAATAAATGTCTGTGGGGATAAACATCTCCACTTCTCACTATAGTCAACCTTCAAACTCGAAAGATTTTGTGAACACATGAAATTCTAAAATCGATGGCGTCAAATGATTCATTTCATCCCTCAATCATCAGTTAATCGTATTCCATAACTCAGCTGGAATCTTCGCTTGCCTCAGAGCTTATGTTTCAAACTACTCTTTGTCTGTATAAACAATAAGTGTTGTGTAGTATCTGCTGATTTCACTTACAGACTATGGAGTTAGATCTAGCTGGCGAGTTCCTAGTGGCTCGAGACCACGCATCCAGGATCCTGTTTCTTGAATTGATCAACCTCATTGATCTGTGGCCAAAACCATTCATTACATGCAAAAGTGTCATTCACCTAGAGTAAACACAGGATATGTCGATTTATAATAACAGTTGGTAACAAAGCTTTTCGAATAGTATATCAGGAGAGATAACTGGATAAATTGTGAAACTAGGTCAATCACTACTATGTAATCTGGGAACATCAAGGGATATTCTTGTTCAGAGACGATCATAATGAAAACTGTAATCGGTTGATTCGCTACTAGCTGATATTCATGTTTGACCAGTGAAAGGCATCTTCATGACCTTTATGAATACTGCCCTGCTATACAGGTTTGGAATGAACTTACGAAACGAATTCACTACCAGCCTATATATATTTCTTTTTTCGACACGGAGATAGTTAATTTTGCGAACAATCAATGTGTTGTTAATTGCTACGAACTGTGATCACGATTTGACTGAATGGTTCCACGTAAACTGGGCGCCGAATTAAAATAGACATATTTAAGAATTATATTTGTATAAATCAATCTCAGTGAAATTACAATAATTAGTTCCAATGTTTCGTCCGGAAATCTGCTTCAAATTTCTGTTTAGATATTATCCTTTACTCGACTAAATGATCCCTTTTATCAGCCCGAAATCGTCTTTCATTTGCGAATTGCTAATTTCTTGTGTAGAGGTTGAGCCTTGAAATTACACTTATTTTATCAAAGATGTTGGAAGTTGGTTATGTAACCGTACCTGGATCGCCTGTCAAACAGGAATTTTCGACTAATAATTTCACTGAGCTACACGAAATTAACACAATAGGCAAAATAGCTACAAGTGACTTGAGAATTCTGTCAAAATTCAAGAACGTGTGTATGTTGAACTCCAATCTAATCGCCTTCAAGCCTCTCCATAGGAATAGACATCACCTTACTTTAGTAGATATGCAAAGTCGGCTGAATTACAGTTATGCATTCATCCAATTTCAATTATTCTAAGTGGAATAACAAAGTTGTCTCCAACTTACTCAGACATATCTCACATTCCGCCCGACCTGTCGATGGAGACGACTGTATGGGTTGAATCTCGAAGAGTGTGGCTGATTTCGACTCAGGCTGTAGATAAGCGGATCCCGGTGACAATGGTGTACTGCTCTGATTTCTATTTATCACCGGAATACACGTCGAAGTGTTGGGTGAGCTTTCGAATGAGTTAGCTGCATGTGCTTGATCACTGTTGGTCGGTTCGTGCCTCTTGACCCTGTACATGCTGACTGGCAGTTTTTCTAATTCATTTCTTGTAATGAGTCCAGACGGTCCCGGACGTGTCGGTGGCTCAGGCAAGAGTTGTCTACGTGTATTTGAGTCGTACCACTGTAGTCTTGACCTGTTGAATACAACTGGATCATCATTGATGTGTCTGGAATTAATTCAGTAAGAAGATTTCACAAATCTGTAATTTGTCTCGCTTATCATCGAACAAACGAAAAGGTGTTGTAAAACAGCGAATCAAAAGGACTTCTCATCTAGCCACATCTTTTCACTGAATCCTTTGTGAATCACTGTTTGTGAATAATGGTGAACATACATCTGATTCACCAGCTACACAAACACAAAGCAGTGTCAATTGCTAAGTATATAACATACTTCTGATCTATAAACTGCATAAACCGATGATACGCGTCCATTTTCTAATAGTCTAGGTGTACAACAAACTGAAAAGAGGACTAGAAAAATAATCAGTATTGAATAGTCTTCGAAATACACCATGCATGGCAAATCTCTTCGTGAAAATGCTGAAAAGATGGAGAAGATAGTAGAGTCACCTGGTTAGAAGACAACAGTGGAATGACATTGTCTGATTTTACCAAGTGATTTTAAGGCTTGACAGGTTGTTGCACAGTTTGTTCTCCTTGACCAGAACAATAGGCAAATTAGTGAAATAGTCAAATCGTAAGTAAACTGAAATCTGTGACAACAAATTGAAACCATGTCCACCAATCAGGATGCAATCTCTTAACTTTGAATGTCGATTGCTGCTACTTCTGAATCCCCTACTGACTTCAACACCATAACTATCTCCTTTGTGTTACATGTTCACTATACCAACGAGATTCAACACTATATCAGAGTTTTCTGTTATACATATAATTTCCATGTATAAATGCGCTCAATTTAGACAAATCAGAGAAAATCATTATTCCATTGTCGTTAGATGACTTTGATGGCATGAAATTTATACGAGGCATCTAATCGCCTTTCAACGAAGAATCACTCGACAGAGCGATATAGGTCTGATGTTAATAGTGGAGTTCCACTGCATCGCAACATTTCCAACTAAAAAGCACCAATTACCCTGATCTAAGTAACGCAATTAATTGTCTCATGTTTATTGTGTACAGCACGCTGTTTCAGCTTGCACATTTCAGTTACACAGTGACCGATTCCTGCACATTTACTTAAGCGGAAACAGAGTACTTTGTGGTCCGAAATACCTGAATTAGTGCATCACAACCGACATCGCACACAGAGCCTTAACTTCACACCGAATACTTCAGATTATCTGAAGATAAACGCAGCCTCATCGACCAAACCAGTGTTAGGTGAATCTACAAAACTTGATCCAGCAAATACGGTCGACGTGAAGTGATGGGAGGAAACAGTTCCTTGGAACCTAGAAGATCAGAAAAAGCAAGCGCTTGGAGCAGTAATTCCGAATGTTTCATGCTTTCATAGTGATTTTGATTATATCCCAAATCATAATCTAAAATCAGTCTTCTGCTGGTTTCTTAATTTATAAATATAACTTACGAAAAACGAAGGACAATGTGCATCGCATAATAGGATGTTGAGATGTAACAGCTAGAGTGCACATTTGAACGAAGTCTGACAGACATTTGGAATATTCATCACACTAGCGTAACCAAATTCTTCATTTATGGTGACACACGAAATGTGAAGATCCAATTTTGTGTAGAGGCCTGTTTCCGAAACCGTGACTTTTTCTCCAGTTTCCAGATAAGGATTGTCAAGAAGCACAATTAATATGTGCTCTTCTATCTATACGATAGCTTCAAGAGTGAACTCATGTCTGCACAACGGAACTTTGAAATCTCAGAAATCTTTCGCAGGATGGATTTCGATTCCACTGCACAGACACAAACATAACTGGAGCAATCTCTCTTAATGTACAAAAAATATGATAGTTTTATCGTGATGAAATGAACCAACGAAGTTTGGACTACACATATTTCCAACTAGTGCAGAATTCCGAATATTATTCCGTGTAAGAAGACATCCTGTGGGTGATTTACATCCACTTCTATTTGCTAGGCTGTAAGACACAACAGACGGGATTAGAATGCAAAACTCGTCCACCACATATACGAGGAGACTGTTCCTTTAAATATCTGATGGCACATTTCAACTAAGATTCATGCCACTGCTAAGACATAAAACAACAGCTATTTCTCGTATGAGCAGAAGACCACTTCAGTGAATTTTTGTGGAGAATATTAAAGCAAGATCAGGCTAATATAGTCAAACGTGATTCGGTTTGTGCTCCTGTGATATTCTGATATGCTCGCACTATTGCAAATAATCAAACCCTCAATACTGCTTTTGAAATCATACTTTACGTTTATGAGGTGTGAATATTCTGACCTGTGTGAAACAGATGCTCAACGCAAATAAAAAGTAAAAGCACCTTCAAGAATCACTTTCTGTCGAAAAGAAAGAATCGAATTTCGAAAGCTTATTATCTATGTATTCCGTCTTTCTAAGCTTCAAATCTTCTCAGCGACGACAGTAGAAGTATCATGATTATTTATTAAACTCAAGGAAGAGCTGTCGTTTGCTCAATCTCGTTCGAGATTTTCTATGTGTAATATCACGTTTCACATGTTCATGTGTGAAACTAACACCAGCACAGTATAATTTGTGTGAACACAATCAGAACCACCCTTCTGTTGAAAGCATAAACGGCAAAACTCCTCAACTCGCTTCCCTGAGGATCCAGGAGTTTGTACTGTTTCCTGGGATTTTCAGTGGCTTGGTCACTTCGAGATTAATTTGCTTCCTTCTTCATTTTCTGTATCACAACAGCGTGGCCCAATGGTCTATCAATATTATTTACCTTACACTACGCAGTTTGATAATGACAACCTTTTGATTACGCAGAGCCACCTCTGTTTTACGTAAATGAGTTACCTGGAACACATTTATCATGTGCCAGGCTGTGAGTGAGACATGTTCTGTCAGGAGTAATGATGCCACCCAGTTGTGCAGATTTAAGCAGCCTCAGCGAGATTCACCGACTAAAAGTCGAGTGCTTACTCCAATGAACCACAAAAGTGTATGTAGTATAGCTCTACGCTATGTACGTAAATTGAGAATGAGATTCAGTGGTGTGGAATGAGTGTAGTGTTGTGAAAGTGATTACTAACTGTGCAAGTAAACGGTAAACACAAATGTCGATGAAGCAAAACGTTTCATCACACTGATTAGTCATACACACTAGTGAGCTCAACCCACTGAGCAAGTTTTCAAATTGATGAACCTTGACCTTCTTGAGTTGCTATGTTGAGACTGTTTATTAGATTTTTCTGTTTTCTGTCTTATCTCACCCCCTCCTTTTTTTCTTTCTTCTCCTCTCATAGTTTGATAGTATATAAATTGATGGTAACTTCGATTAGAATACTTATATTCCAGATGCGTTCACCTTATAATGTTTTCTCTATTACCTTTCAAACAATGAAGTATGAAATGTTATTATTTATAACCATTGTAATCTCAGGTAGTTTGCAGTTGATGAGAACCTGTGAAATAGAATTATATCATTTTATACTGCAAATCTGGTCTTTCTTTCTCTATCAAAATTTATCAAGGGAACCAAATGTATGAAACAAAACGTTTCCGTCTCTGCTAACACGCACTCTTAAAATCAGATTGTAAAAGGTTCACAGGACAACACCAACCTGTTCATACGCTGGTGAGCAAAACTATCGTTTACCACATTTCCACCAAGTGTAACTCGTACGTGGTCTCTCCCATTCGCCACTATTTGACCAGCTGGGATACGTGAGCCACTTCTAGAGAAATGTTGACGAGACGAAAACATGAAGAAATCATACATTTAGAACTGCATCACGAAGTTACAAATATACAATATTGCAATGGTATGTATTGGCGATTTCATTAATTATTCAAATGAGTTAAATACTTCAACAGCTGATTGTGGGTATATGTACATCCTTGTTATATCAAAGAAGTGGCGTTTAAACACACTTATTGGTAACATGATTTCAGGCTGTAACCCGAAGTTTATGCTAAAGGGTTACTAAATATCATTAATACCACGTGATGAAACTTATGGCCTACTTGATTGTTACGTAAAGAAGACAGAATTTAGGGAAAGCCAACATCCGAGAATTGGGTTACGTCTGTTTGTACAACCACAGAATTTCGCTAAATGGAGAAAACAGAGTTCCACTTAAGTTCCTGACACAGCTGATTTTAGAGAATTCCCTCTGCTATCCACACGTACAATAAAAGAGTTCAGAAATCATCAATCCACCGGCTTTTTCTCTCCTAAAATTCGCCGGGCAAAGGTTATTTCGCGAAATATCTCACAATTCCTGTTAGCATAGGGGTTTCGTATCACTCTAAAGACTTGTTGAAAGGAACCTTTCATGGGGAGATTACCAGTAGTCACTGCATCTTGTTGTAATATAAACAGTAAACGTTTCCTTATTCATTGGAAGACTGCCGTCATTTGCAGAAAATGTAGTGTGCAAAAGAGTAACTCGAAGTGAGGTGAGAGTATTTCAGATATTGTGTTTTACAGTAGAAATACAACCTACTTCTCTGTCAACGAAACCATCTATTCCAATGATTTCGGATAGCAAATTAGTGGAACTCAGAAAAGAAATAAGAAGCTGATGTCAGTCGTGTGTATTCTAGGTGAAGACCCGAGTTTCGAGGTCAACACAGATATTAGAAATGGGAAGAATGTATCCGATTTAATTATTTCATTCTTCTTACCCGTCAGTTATCCCTAGGCTCCTCAGAATTCTAAAGGGTAAAAATTGAACTACTTAGCTTTCTACGTACAAACTCGCTTAACAATGCGTTTGAAACTATGGGTACTGGGTTCGAGCCTCAGTGGGAACATCATCACTCACTGAGAAATGCAGGTACATCCAGCTGACGAGTCCCAAATAGGACGAAATGCGCATCCTGGATTCCACTGCTAGCCACCATCCACCAATTGTATACTAACTAAATGCCCAGACATCGTCGAAGCATCTGCACAAGAGGCCGACATGTCAACCTGAGACCGAGCACTTCGGTCCAATCGATCGACGGGAAAATCTAAAATTCAATTCAATAATTAATATGACCCGTCGCACAAGAGGTGGCTCTCGTGGCCCAAGTGGTCTAGTGGATAACGCTTTGGCGTTTGAAACTATGGGTACTGGGTTCGAGCCTCAGTGGGAACATCATCACTCACTGAGAAATGCAGGTACATCCAGCTGACGAGTCCCAAATAGGACGAAATGCGCATCCTGGATTCCACTGCTAGCCACCATCCACCAATTGTATACTAACTAAATGCCCAGACATCGTCGAAGCATCTGCACAAGAGGCCGACATGTCAACCTGAGACCGAGCACTTCGGTCCAATCGATCGACGGGAAAATCTAAAATTCAATTCAATAATTAATATGACCCGTCGCACAAGAGGTGGCTCTCGTGGCCCAAGTGGTCTAGTGGATAACGCTTTGGCGTTTGAAACTATGGGTACTGGGTTCGAGCCTCAGTGGGAACATCATCACTCACTGAGAAATGCAGGTACATCCAGCTGACGAGTCCCAAATAGGACGAAATGCGCATCCTGGATTCCACTGCTAGCCACCATCCACCAATTGTATACTAACTAAATGCCCAGACATCGTCGAAGCATCTGCACAAGAGGCCGACATGTCAACCTGAGACCGAGCACTTCGGTCCAATCGATCGACGGGAAAATCTAAAATTCAATTCAATAATTAATATGACCCGTCGCACAAGAGGTGGCTCTCGTGGCCCAAGTGGTCTAGTGGATAACGCTTTGGCGTTTGAAACTATGGGTACTGGGTTCGAGCCTCAGTGGGAACATCATCACTCACTGAGAAATGCAGGTACATCCAGCTGACGAGTCCCAAATAGGACGAAATGCGCATCCTGGATTCCACTGCTAGCCACCATCCACCAATTGTATACTAACTAAATGCCCAGACATCGTCGAAGCATCTGCACAAGAGGCCGACATGTCAACCTGAGACCGAGCACTTCGGTCCAATCGATCGACGGGAAAATCAAAAATTCAATTCAATAATGCTACATCTGATTTTGTATGGGCTTGTAAGTTCCACTGAGTCGGCACTGAACTGTCATACTGAAATGTGTGAATCAGTCGCTGTGGGCATTCCAATGGGAAACGAATTTAATGATGCTCAGAGACTTCTGGTTACTTCTCTGCGCCACCAGGGAAATATTGCCCATAGCCTTCACACAAGTAGAGTACGGAATGCAATAGTGCAGTTTATTTAAATGGTAAGGTTGTTACACCTCACCAATATGAAAACTAAGATGGTGAAACACGGATTCTGTGACTGGTATGACTAAGAACTTTAATACAAGCAGAATATAAATCTAGTCTTAGTGGTGTACCGTAACCAGGTAACTTCTTTCATCTGAATTAATACTTGTCTATGGCACTTACCACCTGTCAATGAAGAAATATGACCTCGACTTTCGTCTCAAGATACCATTCAAATGAGGGATTCATCATGCCGGGAAATATATAGCGACCTAGTGTTAGTAAAATGAAAGCATTCTAAATTTCCTCTATTTTGAAAATGATAAGATAAAATAAGATAATAGCTTTATTCCAAATCAGTACTTGTGATACAGAATGGAATTCTCAGCATTTTTACTACAATACTGCATCCAGTTAGTACATTAGCAATAAATAAAGTTCTACATACATTAAAATTATCTCAGTCAGTTTTGACAACAACATATTAGCATGTCGGTAGCAAAGCCAAAATTTAGACAGATTGTTTGAAGGTGTTAGAAAAGTAGATACTACTAGCATATTTACTGGCGTAAGCGATAGCAAAATGGTCGAGATATACAGAGTGTGAAAAAATGAACAAGAATGTTTTCAGTAGAGTTTGTAAGGAAGAGAGAAACAAAACAACACGTAACAAAAATAAATACAGAATGAAAAAAAAGTAGAGAGAAAACGTTGTACCTGTAAATGATGTGAGTTGGAAAGACGAGATCTATTTGTTCTACTGACTGTTTAATAAGTTAAAGGTTTCATGCCTAATGCTTTCTTTATAGCACAGAACACGTGCTAGGTAGGGTATAGTTGAGTTTTTGTACTTACTAGTACGATCATATAGTTTCCTATATAGGCTTCTGGTCTTCCCTGAAGGGATACATGGGGAGAGTTATTAATGTAGAGGGTGTTGTGAGTCAGATAAAATGGATTTCGCCCATTTTTCACATGAGTCCATGTGCCTGTCCACCAGAATATTAACAAGCTGGCTAAGTGGCAAACTGCTTACCCTGCTGACAACCTTTAACATCCTGCGTAATAAGGTATAGTCTTTCTTCAATAGCCCAGGAAAGACTAAGGGGAACAATAGGGAATAATAGGCAGAATACGGGAGTCAACAAATTGTAGTAGTAAGGGTTGGGTTACACCAGCATGTCTTAACTTCTTGATATAGAAGGTAGGACGGAATATTTTCTTAGAAATCGTCAAGATATGAGACGACCAGGAAAGATCAGAAGGTAGAGTGACGCCTGGGTATTTAATTTCCGACTTGGTTTCAATTTCAGTGCCATCTATGTTGCACACCTCGTGAGTGCTAACCAGTTTTTTTAGGTCAGATTTGTGCCTAAAGGTGAAATTAACTGTTTGGCATTTGGAGGGGTTTAAGGTGAGACCGTTTTCCTTGGACCATCGGCTGATTTCTGATAAGAAGCCATTTAGTTTAGAGCAGTCACTTTGACATTTGACAGGTAAAGATACAGTTAGGTCATCAGCATATTTGACAAAGTTAATGTCATTTGAAGATGGTAGGTCATGTAGAAAGAATGAAAAGAGAAGTGGGGAGAGTACAGCACCTTGGGGGACACCAGCTTCAGTGAGCACAGCAGAGGAGGATTCGCCTTTGTATACGGTGTACTGCATTCTGTTTGAAAAGTAGGAGTGCAACCAGTTAGTGATCCAGGACTCGGTCTGTGTCATGGAGAGCTTACTTTGCAAGAGACATCTAGGTACAGAGTCGAAAGCAGAAGTGAAGTCAAGAAACGTGCAGCGGACATATTTGGCACCTTTATCTAATGAAGAGACAATACTGATGTATAAGACGGCTGCAGCGTCTAAAGTACTCCTATCCTGTCTGTACGCAAATTGTTTGGGGTCTTCGAAGCTTTTAAGGGAGGGTTCGAGTTTAAGAAGTACTAGTTTTTCCATGAGCTTTAGAAACGGGGAAGTGATGGCAATGAGTCTGAACTTTACGTTCTTGCTATTTCCAGGTTTAGGGACAGGGACTATTTTAATATCTCTCCATGGAACTGGTACAACGTTTTCGGAGAAAGAAGCATTTAGGATATTAGTTAGAGGAGAGCATAAATCATCTGCACATTGTTTTAGAACATATGCAGGTATGCCATCAGGGCCAAGACTACATGAGGGCTTAAGAGTTTTAGGACATTTTAAAACATCAAGAGTGTTAAAGTCCTGGAAGTTATCAGCTACAAGATTAGTAACGTTAGAAGTGGTTATAGTAGAAGGAGAGCGTATAAAAGACTGATTAAGATCATTAACATCACAAGAGGGAAAAACATTACATCGCTTATTATTGCCGGTAATTTCATTGAAAAATTTCCATATGCTGATAGGAGATTCGCATGATAAAAGTGTTTGGTTATAGATAGCATTAAGGTTTCTGATTTCAGATTTGATTTGAGCACTAATCTTTTTAAGTCCTAACTTGTCTTGCCAGCAACCCTCAGCCATAAGAATGAAATAGTACTAAGCACTTAGAATCACCCTTCTGGGTGCTTCGAACGACAGCTTAATACAGTAAGACGTGTTTTTTTCAAGCAATATGCTTTAAAGTTGGTTTCACAGAAGTGAATGCTAGTGACGACGATTCATATGAACAGGCTGCAGTATTTCCGATTATCGTGTTCAGACACAGTCACCGATAAATGAATTCAGCATCGAATCATTAAAGAAACAGCAGTGTTTAAAAAGCATCATCGCTGCCTCTAGGTACTAAGTGAAGTGGAGTTTACATATGTAAACCATCGAAACGGATCCAATATCGTTTTTACGAGCTAGTATAAACCAATTTGATTTCTTTGTGCTCGCCTCTTGATTGTGAGGTATAGGTTCTTGATCTTCGGTAAACTTCTGCGTAGCTTGTCCCGCCACTCGACTGTCGTAGCTTTGGTTGACTCCAAAGGGAGTAGTGCTGGGATTAATTATATGTGGTTTGTAGTATGAGGTATGTTAAGACTGTTACTACTGTGATTGGAGTTGATCCTTTCGCCAGTTAGTCCTTCGGTATTGTCGACAAGAGAAAAGAGATAGTAATAATAATAATAATAGTAATAATAATAATAGATATAATTAGTGAAGCTATTCAGACTAAGAGACAGAAACGAAAATAGGAAACGTAACAACAGTCAGCTCATGAAGTTTGAAGAATAATATATATATCGGTAATAGTAATAATAATAATAGTAATTATAATATTAATAAGTTGTCAGGAGAGTAAGACGGGAGAGAATGTAAAGAAGTAAAATGACGAGTTTAATTATCTACCCTGATTGGTAAATGCGATTTTAAGGAGATAGGCCATTTGGATGCAGTCCTTGTATAGCTGCATGGTTGTCCAGCCTTCGCTTAAAGGCGTCCAAAGACGGTGCCATAGCTACATCTGCCGGTAAGGAATTCCAGGGACGACAAACCCGCAGTGAAAAGAAGTGGGAGCGCACCCGGGTCCTTGCCCTCTGGTGAGCTATCCTTCTGGGATTTCCACGTGGAAGCCTATACCTACTCAATGGCAGAACACCTTTGTTTGGGTGATTCTGGTCATTTGTTATTTTGTAGGCAGTAATCAAATCCCCCCTAAGCCGACGGTAACTAAGTGTGAACAGGCCTAATTTCTTCAGCCTTTCATCATATGGTTTGTTTCGGAGACCAACCACTCCTTTTGTTGCCCGTCGTTGGACTCTCTCCAAGAGGTTGGCATCTCTTCTCAGCATTGGGGGTGCAATAATATTATGCACCTCAAGGTGTGGCCTGACGTATGTTTTGTACAACATTAGAAAGAGCTCAGGAGTGAGTGCACCTAACTGTCTATGCGTAAAGTGTATGACCGCATATGCCCTCGCTACATCCCCTGTGTAATTTACGCTTGTGTCCATTTTTTCCGTTAGAACTAGACCTAAGTCGCGTTCCGACGTTGTGCAGGACAAGCTTTCATTGCACAGGGTGTAACTTGCATTCTGCAGTCTACAGGTGCGCAACTTCACTACTTTGCACTTTTTCAAGTTGAAAGTCATGCCACTGGCCACCGCCCAGTCTTCCAGAAGGTTTAGGTCTTCCTGTAGCCTATCTGAGTCCTCCGGACACTTTATCGCCCTCCATATTTTTACGTCGTCAGCGTACAGGAGAGTCGGGCAGCTCAGACGGCGTGGTAGATCATTGATGAAAATCAAAAACATCAGTGGTCCTAGGATAGAACCCTGCGACACTCCTGATGACGATCTGTGCCAAGATGATCGGACTCGGTTAACCTTAGTGCAAAATTGCCTGTCGGCTAGGTAGTCCTTCAACCATGACAGAAGTGGCTCACCTATGCCTGCCTGTCTTATTTTATGTAGGAGAAGGTCATGGTGAACAGTGTCAAACGCCTTCTCAAAGTCTAGGAAGACCACATGGACTGGTACGTTCAAGTCCCAGCATGATGTCCAGTCGTCCCAAGCTGACAGTAGGTTAGTGACGCAGGATCTGCCTTTTCTGAAACCATGTTGGGCTTCATGCAGTATATTAGTCCTATCGAAATATTCCCTGATGTGGTCGTCAATAATACTTTCCAGTACTTTTGATACCACTGGGAGTAGAGCTACTGGTCTATAGCTAGCAGCGTTTTGCCTGTCCCCACCCTTGAAGATCGGAGAAAGGATGGCTCTTTTCCACTCCCTTGGCAGGGTCCCCGAATCCATTGAGTGTTGGAACAAGTCGCACAGGGGTCTACAGAGAGCCTCGGCGCACTGTTTCAGAACAGATGGCCTGATGTCATCACAACCTGGGGACTTCCCAGGTATGAGTCGCTGTAGCTTCCTTAGTACTATTGCGGGGTTTATTTGGGGAGTAGTCGCTAGGTCTTCCTCCTCTGAAATAGTGGTGCCACCATTTTGGTCCGTAACTGTAATATCCACATTGCTGTTTAGCTGTTTAGCGAAGGCTGAACTGAATGTTTCAGCCATCTCCAGACTAGTGAGATATTGACCGTTTGGGCCTACTAAGGCGCATGCCCCTTGGTTTGTCGGTTTTCTTTCCGACATGAATCGGTACAAGTTTTTAGGGTTTGATAGGAGTTTTTTAGCAAGGTTAGCCTGGAATGACCTTCTGTCCCTCCTAACTCTTGCATTACACCGGTTCCTGAGTTCGAGGTATGCATCATGGTCGGTCTGACTCTTAGATACACGCCACGTAAACCAAGCCCTCCGCTTTGCTTGCAGAATACGTTGCGTGCCTCTCTTCAACCATGACGTCTTTCTCTTAGGCTGTGTTGTGACTAAAGGGACGGTATCCGAGATTGCTGCATGGATAATCTTTTTTACCACTTCCCAGTGTTCATCCACAGATAGGTCGTCCCATGCTAAGGGCCAGTCTGCGTCGGACAAGAGCCTCCGCATTTCAGCATAGTCAGCCTTGCTGTAGCACAGACATGGTCGCGTAACATCCCATTGCAAACGCTCACGGAGGACAAGATCGAAACCTATGACTGCATGGTCACTGCTTCCCAGAGGAGTCATGATCTGGACCTTTTCGACGAGTAGCTGGTCACTAGTTAGAATATAATCTAGTTTTGATGACTTTCCACTAGGGCCCCACCTAGTGTCGTCTCCAACATTCTCAGTCAGTCCCGTGTTTCGAATAGTTTGCAGTAGGTTTCGGCCAAATTTTCCCTTAGCACACCCGGAGCCAAGGTTCAGTGATGGAGCATTGAAATCTCCAGCTATGGTGATTTGGTCGTAGCCCAAATCTCGTATTCCTGTGATAGTGCTGAGCAGTAGCTGATTGTGCTCTGCCCCACAGGTGGGAGATCGGTAGATGCCACCCAGTAAGTGCTTGGTGTGGCCTACGGTGAAATGACACCATATGGAGTCTGGGAGTTCGATAAGTGGTGGGTCCGTTGCGCGCACACATTTAAGTTGCCTATCAAAGTATATAGCAACTCCCCCTCCTTCCTTATTATCCCTGTCTCTCCTGACCAGTACCATATCACCTATACTGATTTCATTGTCGGCGATAGTGGGGTTTAGCCACGTTTCAGTGAGAATGATTATTTTCAGTTGAAGGTGCGCTTGGAGATTTCGAAGTTCACCTACTTTCCCTCTCAGCCCCCTCACATTGCTATATAGGCAACTGACAGTGAGTCTAACAACCTCAGAGTGTTGTGGGGTAGTTGACGTGAAACCGTCTGCTGGTGGGGGACTTGATGTTGGAACTAGTTGGCCGATTCCGATAGAACCGGCCCGTTGTAGTTTTTTTCAATGGATTTAGGCAGGACACTTGGGAGACACAGACTATTATTCTCAGAGCTGCATCGCTCTAGTGTCACCGAAGCTTGGGGTCGTATTAAAGCCTCAGTTTGCTGCCTCCTTATATTTCTGGGTCTGCTTTCACAGCATCGAATGTGTCCTCCAATCGTGAAATGCATGAGCTCATGATTTTATAAAAAGATTAAACACATTCCACATGCATAATAAAATTTAGTTAAATAGTTACCTATAATTAGAAGGGTACAACTGTCTTGGGCGCATTGCTGTGTCAAACATTTCTCGTGCCACTCTCTTGAATTCATTGTGCACCTGCTGGAATGCTCTCTCATGAGACTCTATGGTCCGAATGATATTAGAGTCGCTAAATAGGGAATTTGAAATAAGATTTGACGGGAAAAAGTTAGAAAACAGGTCGTCACTGAACATTGTTATTCCGGTAAATAGCCATTTGGCAGTTTCAAACTATGCGGTATGTACACTGCAACAGTTGTTATGCAAAGTGATGCTAGTGAATGCATTATGTGTGAAACTTCCCTGCTTACCATTTTTAGGAGATTTACAGCATATGTGATTGCAGTCTTAAAAATCATGAAATAGTGACCACATCAGACAAATGTGATTAATTTACTTTCGATATGTTGTCAAACTTATGGTCATGTTCAATATCCAATATCCTGATTACGAGCTAGTATAAACCAGTGATTTCTTTGAGCTCGCTTCTTGATTGTGAGGTAGAGGTTCCAGATCTTCGGTGAGCTTCTGCGTAGTAAGTCCCGCCACTCGACTGCTTTAGCTCTGGTAGACTCCAAGAGGAGTGGTGCGGGGATTGGTCGAGATGTGGTTTGTAGTATGCAGTATTTTAGGACTGTATTGCTGCCGTGAATGGAGTTTGACCTAACTCCCCTTGGTCATTCGGTGTAGTCAAAAAAGCAGAATAGTAATAATAATAATAATGGGTTGTAGTGTAGATAATATAGGTTGAGATAAGTGGAATAATAAAGGTGACCTAAGGAAAAGATAGAGTGAGAGAAGGCAGAATAGGTCGTGGGGATTTAGTTTGTACGCTTGTCCATTGACAGTGTGGTTTCAAGTTTTATGGGGATAAGCCATTGAGACACAAACCTTGCATTTCTGCATGATTGTCTAGCTTCCGCTTAAAAATCTCCAGAGATGGCGCTGTAGTCACGGCCGCCGGTAAAGCGTTCCAGAGACGGCAAACACGAAGCGAAAAGAAATGTGATCGCACTCGAGTCTTTGGTCTCTGGTGTGCTATCCTTAGCGGGTTACCTCGTGGAAGCCTATAATCACTTAATGGCAGGATGCTTTTATTTGGGTGGGCCTGGTCATTTAGGATTTGGTAGACGGTGATGAGGTCTCCCCTGTGCCTACGGTAACTAAGTGTGAAAAGACCTAATTTCTTTAGTCTTTCCTCATATGATTTGTTGCGGAGGCCGATCACCCATTTTGTCGCTCGTCTCTGGACACTTTCTAGAATGTTAGCATCCCTTTTGAGTAGCGGAGGTGCAATGATATTATGCACCTCAAGGTGTGGCCTCACATATGCCTTATATAACCTTAAGAACAGTTCGGGAGTGAGAGCTCCCAGCTGCCTGTGCATAAAGTGTAAAGTTGCGTAGGCTTTGGCGACGTCCCTCGAGTAATTTCCACTGGTGTCTAGCTTTTCTGTTAGAATAAGACCTAGATCTCGCTCTGATGGAACACAACTCAAGTTCTGGCCACCAAGGGTGTAATTTACACTCTGTGACCTGCCGGAATGAAGCTGCACTACTTTGCACTTCTTTAGATTGAAAGGCATTCCGTTAGCCAGAGCCCAGTTTCCCAGAGTTTGCAGGTCAGCCTGCAATCTATCTGAGTCTTCCGATGAGTTTATTGCTCTCCAAATCTTTACGTCGTCAGCGTAAAGAAGCGCAGAGCAGTTTAGTTGGGGGGGGCAGGTCATTGATAAAAATCAAAAACATCAACGGCCCTAGGATAGAACCCTGAGGAACCCCTGATGCCGAGGTGTGCCAGGATGATCGGATGCGGTTGACTTTGGTGCAGAATTCTCTCTCGCCTAAGTAATCTTTCAGCCATGCGAGAAGTGCTCCAGAAACTCCCGCCTTGCTTATTTTGTGAAGGAGCAGACCATGGTGAACTGTGTCGAATGCTTTCGCAAAGTCGAGAAAGATCACGTGGGCTGGTACCTTTTTGTCCCAGGATAGTGTCCAATCGTTCCAGGCTAGTAGAAGATTCGTCACGCAGGATCTTCCCCTCCTGAAACCGTGCTGTGCTTCGTGAAGAAGGTTAGTCCCATCGAAGTATTTTCTCATGTGGTCGTCAATGAGACTTTCCAATATCTTCGATATCACTGGAAGTAGAGCAACTGGTCTGTAACTGGTCGCATTCTGCCGGTCACCACCCTTGAAGATAGGGGATAGGATTGCTCGTTTCCATTCACATGGAAGTTTCCCTACATCAAGGGAGTGTTGGAACAGATCACTTAGGGGTTGGCAGAGACTTTCTGAACACTGCTTCAGGACAGATGGTCTGATGTCATCACAACCTGAAGACTTTCCCGAAGCCAACCTTCCCAATTTTGCAAGTACCATAGCCGGGGTAATTTGAAATGTACCCAGCAGGTTTTCGCGTGTTGGTTTTGCGATGTAATCTGGATGTTCTGTAGGGGTAATATCCTCGTTACTGTTTAGTTGCCTGTGAAAGGCTAGGCTGAATGTCTCTGCCATTTCAAGACTAGTAAGAGATTTCCCATCAGAACCCACTAGATTGCATGCTCCCTGGTTGGTCGGTTTTCTTTCGGCCATAAACCTGTATAGGCTTTTGGGGTTCACGAGAAGCTTATTGGCGAGGTCTCCCTGAAATGTCCTTCTATCGCTCCGGACTCGTATGTTACATCGATTCCTGAGTTCAAGGTACACTTCATATTCGGGTTGACTCTTCGATCGTCGCCACGCGAACCAGGCTTTTCGCTTCGCCTGCAGAAGGCGTTGTGTCCCCTTTTAGCCATGATCGTTGCTTCCTAGCTTTTGGTGTGACTAAAGGAACAGTGTCTGAGACCGCCTGGTGAATGATTCCTTTACCACTCTCCAGTGTTCTTCTACTGTTAGCTCTGTCCATTTTTTAGGCCAATTTGCTTCAGACAGAAGTCTTCGCATTTTGGTGTAGTTGGCTTTGTTATAACACAGATAGGGCTGTGTATTGTCCCACTGTAAGCGCTCGCGGAGGACTATGTCGAATACTATGACCGCGTGGTCACTACTACCTATGGGAGTCGTGATCTGAACGTTTTCCACTAGTAGCTGGTCACTAGTGAGCACGTAATCCAGTCTAGAAGACTTCCCATCAGGGCCCCATCTAGTATCCATCTTGACATTTTCAGTGAATCCAGCCTTCCTGATGGTATGCAGCAGATTTCGATCAAATCTATCATGGGCTTTTCCCGACACCAAGTTAAGAGATGGGGCATTGAAGTCACCAGCTATGACAATTTGATCATAACCCATGTCTTGAGTTGCTGAGATTGTATTTAGCAGTACCTGGTTGTGGTCTGCTCCACATGAAGGTGATCGATAAATGCTGCCCACTAGATATTTGCAGTACCCAACGGTGAAGTGGCACCATATGGAGTCAGGGAGCTCTGTGAGGGGAGGGTCCATCGCGTGAACACATCTGAGCTGTTTGTCGACGTATATGGCGACTCCACCTCCTTCTTTCAGGTCCCTATCTCGCCTGACTAGGACCATATCATTTATACTGACTTCGCTGTCTGCCACCGTAGGGGTTAGCCAGGTTTCCGTCAGTATTATGATTTTGGAGTTCAGTTGTGATTGTAGGTGTCTAAGTTCAGCTATTTTGCCTCTTAGCCCTCTCACATTACTGTACAGGCAACTGGTAGTCAGTCTCACCACTTCCCCGTATTGGGGGGTAGTTGACTTGATATTGGCTATCGGTTGAGGAGTTATCCTACGAACTAGTTGGCCGATTCCCCAGGAACCGGCCTGTTGGCGTTTTTTTCTTCTAGTTCAGTCGGAGCACTCGGATGACACTGGCTATCATCGTCCGTGCTGCACCGCTGTAGTGTGACTAGGGGTTGAGGATTTTTTTAACTACGCTTTGTTTTCTCCTTTGAGTGCGAGGCCGGCTCTCGCAGCAGCGAATGTGTTTGCTGACCTTGTCCTTGGTCTCGTACCATCTATGGAGAGCGGTAGTCAACTGGTCTTGGGAGCTGAACTTGACAGCTAACAGACGTGGCGTGTTAATTGACATAAGATGAGTGGGTCGAGGCAGTCTATAAATAGAGACAGCCCCTGAACTCCCCAGGGCCATCTGGGATGCCAACCATCTCCATTGTTGTACATCATGACAATGCTTTTCGCAGGCGTTCCCAGTTACCAGTTCGGGAATGCCATGCACAACCATGGAGGCAGAAGGAATGAGCTCTGGCGACTCCCTCGCCATTTGTCTTTCCTTCCACGGCCTGTCTGGCTTAACGCGTATGTTACAGGCCCTCCCTATAGAAAGGACTTGAGAAGCCAGTAACACATTTTCAACATCCTCGGTAGAGCCCGATGTTACCCTCAGTGGGGATAGTTTTACTTCATGTGCAGCAGTGCTGTCAATGGAGTTGAAGATCGAACGATCAATTCACGGTTGTTTGCTCAAAAACAACTTCACCAATTTTCGCGGAGGCATCAATACGACAGTCATCGTCTCATCGGTCGCTGTTCAGAAAGAAGTCAGGAGACAACCGTCAGAAGTAATATTGTGATTTATTATTGTAATATTTGTTCACAGACCTTAGTTCAATTATTATTTTTATATGTTGGTGTAACAATAAAGAAATCTCAAGCGGCCAATCGGTGTTTTGATTTTTGCGTCCGTTATTACTAAGCATTTCTGAAATCTTCAAGGAACAGCGTGAGCCCGAGCGTAGCAATAGCTGGGCATTAACGGTTTACGAGACGTGATTGACAGTTTCTGATGGTAGAAACAGATTCTGGCTGATTCAGATAGCTGGTAACGGTTTGGATAGTCACCGTTCATCTTTCCTGGTGCCGGTCAAGTCCTCTTTGAACAAGCAATATCTGGAACATTTTTGGAATTGGGTCAAGTTCAACAATGCCTGGGTCAAAGAAGGGACAGAGTGTCTTGGATGCAAACAGGAAAGTAAGTCATGGTGACTTGTCTGTCAATTGTAACGATGTGTCTGATGTTAAGCATGACATGGTTGATGTTACTGTTTCGCCGTTCAGGGATAATAGGAACATCAAACTCCCTAAATTTGAACCACGATGTTTCGATGGAAACCCGGCTGATTATTTACAATTTGTAAAGGAGTTTGAGATCATGTTGAGTAGTTTTCTATTAAGTGATGAATTGAAATTGATGTATTTGATGAGTTATTGCAC